ATTTGGCCAAAAAGGTTTCGGGTCTCAACTCTACTTTAGATATTTCGGCAACCACCTGACCAAATTCGATAAATTTTATTACTTTAATTATTTAGAAGTGTAGAATTCAAATAAAAAAATTTTTATCAAATTTTATTGGGTGGTCATTGAATTTTCGTTTAAAATTTGAAAAAAAAAACTTATTTGTCAAAGGCTTTGTTAAATTTTTTCCAAACTTTGAATGAAGATATCTTGATAACCACCTGACTAAATTCAATGAAAATGTTTTTATTCTAACTCTCTGAAAATTACTAATTTGAATAAAAAAAATTTCATCAAATTTGGTTAAGTAGTTGTCAAGATATCTTTGTTCAAAATTTAGAAAAAAATTGGCGCAGCTTTGATTGATAGACGTTTTTTAAGTTTTTTTTTTCAAACTTTAGACGAAGATATTTCGACAAACACCTAATCAAATTAGATGAAATTTTTTTATTCGAATTAAATAGTTTCAGAGAATTAAAATAAAAAAAATTCATAGAATTTGGTAAGTCGGTTGTTGAGATATCTTCGCCCAAAGTTGACGTTTTGAGTTGCTTACTAATTTTGAGCAAAGATATCTTCACAACTAGTTGATCAAACTCGATGAAAATTTTTTTTTTTATTCGGATTAGACATAATCAAAGAATTAAAATTAAAAAAAAATTATCGAATTTAGTCAAGTGGTTGTCGAGATATCTTCGTTCAATTCGTTCAAAGTTTGGAAAAAATTGGTGAGCTTTAATTTTGATAAACGTTTTTTAAGTTTTTTCCAAACTTTATACAAAGATATTTCGACAATTACCTAATCAAATTCGATAAAATTTTTTTTATTTTAATTCTCTGGAAGTATAGAATTCGAATAAAAAAATTTTTTTATCGAATTTCATAGTTTGTTGTTGAGATATCTTCGCTCAAAGTTTAGAAGAAAATTTCGCTTTGATTTTTTTTAAAGTTGTTTATTTATTTTGAGCAAAGATATCTCCACAATCAGCTGATTAAACTCGATGAAATTTTTTTATCGGATTATACATAATCAGAGAATTTAAATAAAAAATTTTTCATCGAATTTAGTCGGGTGGTTGTCGAGATATCTTCGCTCAAAAGTTCTTGATTTACACGGGATATGAAAAGTAAATTTAGAATTTCTGATTGATTGAGTTTGCATGAATTATCACCAAACATTATGCACTCCTACCGGATCAGTATATATGGATAGGACAGAAAAATCATATCATACCATACTAGTCAGATATAACAACAATAAATAATAATAAAGTATTTGTTATTGTATGGTTTTTTCTGTACACCCCTATATTGATTTGCAAATTTAGAGTTTTGTTTTGATAATCTAAATTAATAGTTTCTAAAAACAACACATAAGACCGATCAATTATGGTAAATAAAAAAACTAATAAATAATTTATACTTTAGAAGGCTATTTTAAATAGAAAATTCGTTTAACGTTCCCCCCATTTAAGTAGCTGCTCTTCTCTAACTTAAACAAGCTAATTGCTAATTACTTAATATATTATGTTCATATATGCAGTTTAATTAATGTTTCCCTCAAAAAGGAACGTTAAAAGAATCATTAAATTCAAATGGCCTAAATAATAAAATTTATATTATTGGGCCATAGAAAGAAATGAAACCAATATTAACATCTAGAAAACTATAAATATTAATATTTTTCTTCTGCCTAAATTTTGTAAATTTTTATTTAATATTATAATCATCGCATAAAAATAACATATACTGTCAATAAAAATGTCATCAAAACCTTATGACTCACAAACTAAAGAACATTATATAAGTGCGAAATTTAAATTTAAAATAAGAAAATCCATATCTATAATTTTATTTATTACCTTAATATGGAACTTTGTTAAAATTACCTCAATGCTTGAAGAATCTAAGGTAAAATATTATGATAGCTGAAGTTAAGATGGTTGATGCTGAAATTTGACCTACATTATTATAAAAATTAGAATTTTTATGGTCTTTTTTGCGCAGGGGGATTTAGGATTTATTTGAATTTTTAGTATTTAATTATTATAATTTAAATAAGAAATCAAATTTCAGCACAATTTGTCATAAATATCTTTTTTTTTATAAAATAATTTAACTAATGATCTCAATTGTAGATATTTTTTAACGTCGTTAAAGGTGATAACATTAAAAATGACATTGAGCATGAATACATCATTGAGGATGAAATCATTGAAGATGATAATATTTTTGAAGATAATTCCGCTGAAAATGATATATTTAAAGATAATACCACTGAAAATGACACTAATAAAGATAATATCGTTGAATATAATGTCAAATATAATATTGTTGAAACGGAGGATGAAGAGATTAATATGAAATACTGTCAAGAAAAAACCTGTAATTTCATGTTCCCATATTTTCACCCAGAACAAGAAACTCGTGCCAACCTTCATGTTCGCATGTACATAGAATTAGCACGAGCTATAAATCGTACGATAGTACTATCAAATATTGGAAATTCACGAATTAGAGTGTGTAAACCATATACATTCGACTTTTATTTTGATGTACAAGCATTACAAGAACAGTATCCAGACGTTCGATTCATAACACAAGACAAATTTTTGGAATGGACAAAAGAAAGGAAAACTCGACCAATTGCGCAACATTCATTGATGATTGAAGATGGTAGAAATTATACTGCCAATTTATGCCTTCAAGAAAAAGAGACTATGGGTGTCAACGAAGGAATTATAATTCCAGAAAAAAAAAAAAAAAGAACTTTGCATAGATCAATTTAACTTA